TTATCGTTTGATATGTTATATATAAAGAGGGAAATTATAAGATGATGCTATTTATTTCTTATCCTCTCCCGCCGCCTCCCTTTATGGAGAATAATAGGGTAGGGATGAAAGGATCATAGCTCGATATATTTTTTTCTGTTCATCGTATCGGAGGTTATGTTCTTTTTTTTTTTTGCTTCTTTTCATTCTTCTTTGACACCTATGGTTGTGATCAGAGGTATTTAGCCCCCGAAAGGGGTTGAGATTATAGGTCCTTTGGAAATCCAATACACATTCATGATCCTCAAGTTTGGACGAACTCTTGACCAATGTTGTAAAGATTAGGACTTTTTAGTGAGACATTCTTAGTAAAGATACTTCATTATTGGATCAATTTATTCATCCATATTGAAACTTGACACACATCGTAGCCCTCGTGATGATTAAATTCTATAATCTCGCCTCATTTCTATTTTGGATGTTTTTTTTTATCAAGACACTTAAATTTAGTATATTATAGAATATGTATCAATTGTTAATTTTTGGAGTTTAATCAGTGGTCATTGTTTATATGTTGGCTTAGAATCTCAATCTAAGACACTCGCACACATTATCGAGGATTTTGGTCTTAACATGGTCGTTGAATGTGTAATTTTCAAAGATTTTATCACTTATATATTAATATTTGATAAAGAGTGTCTACAATACACACATTTTTCAAGTGCATTTAAAATGTCTTATCATTTGAACAATATCGGTGGATTTCATTTGATTATTTCCATTAACTTATTATCTATACAACATATTTCAATTCGTGTTTCTCGAGTTTGGACGAACTGGCAACCAATTTTGAGAGTTGAGATTAGTGGATAATGATACTTGATTGTTGGATAAATATGTTTATCCCAATTGACTATTTTACTAAAAATTGCCAACCTTTATTTGCTAAATGTCTAGATTAGTAGTTGATGAAACGCGATGTTTATCGTAGATTCTCAACAAAGATTCTCTAACATTCCTAATGTTTTTTCAAGGAATCTTGTGTCTCATCCTAGGGTATGAAGTCAAAGTTCGTCAACAATCATACTTAAGTCATTTTGAAAATTTTTATTTATAATCGTTGACGATAAGTCCAAGTCTGAAATAAAAATTTCTTAGCATACGACTTAGGACCTCAATAGAGCTTGCTCAATCAACATGATATAGAACAAATATTATTAATGTGAACTTAGGACACATTATAAAATTATTGCACATGTGATTTCTCTTCATTTGAGGAGTTTAAGGTAGAACATGATGTGAGGAATAAGAAGTCTTTTTTAAATAAATAACTATAACTACTCGATCAAGATTATACTCTGACATTTTGCTAAATAATACTTATTTTATTTTATAGACATATAATTTACGAATAAGAGAGTGTTTCATTGCAAAAAAATATAAAGTAATGTAGTTTATTTTTCATAGGTAATTGAATGTCAAATTTTTATTTTCTCTTTTTTCATATAATTTTTTTAATCGAAAAAAATTTATTGTTTATGTGTATGTTTGTCTAATTTCCATAAAAATATAACTTATCATTCAATTTTAGCAAAAATGAGTAAAAAAATTACTTCATAAGGTTTAATCAGATATTTTTTATTTAAACAAATGTGGTATATGTTACTTTCTGTTTTCTTATTTATATTTTTTTTACTGGACAAAAAAATTATTATTTATGTGTGTTTGGTTAAGTTTATCAACATGTAACCTACTATTAAAGCAAAAAAAAAAGTTAAAAGAAATGGAAATATTAAAGAAGAGAGAGGTAGCTCCATAAATACATTAATAACTAATTTTTTTGTTTGTAAAAAAGTTGTGCAACTTGGCAAATTGTGGATCCTCCAAGTGCTTATGTGGCAAGAGATTTCTTTTGAATTGCCATAATATATAGTATAGATAGATAGATAGATTAGAGTAAAAAGTGTATCTGGATACATTTACATGCATGTTAGAGTTCCATCGGAGTTTGAAGTTATAGACAACATGAATTTGTCTACAAATTAAATAATAAAACTAAGTTTTCACAAAAAAAATTAAATATAATTTGTACTTGCTATAGGAATAGATGCTTTAAAAATTGAAGATTTATAACGTTGATACTTGGATAGTTAGTGGATGATAGACACAATCAAATTCAATACAAAATGAAATATTTCACGGGGCATGTTAAAAATTTACTTCAAATCGAAAAGAGAATAATGCAGCCTGCAATTAATATGGAAATCCAATTTCACGCAAGTAAAATTTACATCGATCAAGTGGAAAAAATCGTTTGCATTTTATTGTTCCTCATCCTTCCCTATCATGTAAACCTTGTACTCACTTTGTTGGGTTAGAGATGTGGTAATTTGTGAGGTTGATTCAACACCATCCCTCAATTTGTAGAAGATGAGCAGGTGAAAATCCTCTAATTTTATCGTGTTTTGGAATAGATTCTCAACTAACATTCTAAAAAATCGAGCTCGAACATGATGCATAACAACAAAATCAGCTTATAACGTTGTTTTGTCCACAACTAATAGGTAAATCATGATCTTGTAAAAAAAGGGTAAATCATGAATATGCATAATGATAACTAGTGTTGTATCCGGCCCGTTGGCCGGTTTGTGGTCAGTTGGGTTTTTTTTTTAGTTAAACGTAGGTGGTTCGATTTTTAGTATTGTGCACTGGTGGTACAAAAGAGTACTTTGATAGCTTATGTTTTTAGTGCCCGTTAACTTTATAATTATATTGAATTTGTATTTCATTTTATACTTAACTATAAGAAGTTTAAGTTAGACAATGAATGAAATGAAAAACTATCTGGAATCTATATTCATGCCTTGAGATATTAAGCATCACTGAATAAAAAAATTAATTTTTTTATGTTCGTTATATGTGAATAATTACCTTTCAATTGAAGCTTTGAAAATTTTATAACTATTTTAATTTAAATATAGTTGATTGTCATCTATTGAATTAAAAAGTAAATAATGTACATAATATTACTATAGATGTATTACATTTAAATAGTTTAAAGATACAAAAATTCGAGGAGAAAAAAATGTGATATGGAAATAGATTATTTTGACAATTATGTAAAGCAAATCCAAAAATAATAGTATATATGTATTAAATTTATATTTTTGAAAGAGACAAAAATGAAAAATATCAGCAAAAGAATATTTTGACTTGAAATGACCCTTTTAAGTTATTCAATCATTTGAACTTTAGTTATCATAATTCAAACTTAACCTTTAACAATATGCTCATATTTTTAAATATTTTATTGACTATGTCCTATATTTTCAAAAGCGGAGCGGTTGTCGATGAAAAATTTCAATGACTCATGATTAATGGTTTATCATTATACAACTATTTTTTAATCGTTAATGGAACTATTCAGATGTAAATAACAACTTAGTTAGGTTGAAGAAGCATTTAAGTTATTTCATTGGACCATATTTTACGTTTAATAATTTTCTAATAAAAACTATCTCGAATTCTAGCAATTACATAGAGTAAAAAAATTGATTTTTTTTTTGTTTGATCTAATTCGACACAAATATCGAGTCGATACGATATAGATCGAATTATTGTTTAACCTACGACTAAACATGCGATCTTACCTTTCAAAATTTAATGTAAAAATTAGACATGCTAATTTGAAAATTAAAAGAATTTAAAACAATATAAATTGATTGTATTTTGCCAAGATTTCCCGTCTTTCTTCCTCTTCATGTTTGCCGAAATCACTGTGAAATTAAGATCCTAAAACTTTTGAGGGTTGATGCTTGGTTTATCTGTTTAACGTAAAACCCTAATGCGAAAGAACCTATTCCGAAGGAACCTCTTCCCAAACATCCACGCCACAAAGATATATCATCTTTATCATCTCAAAATCCAATCGCAAGCATTATCTCATTTAGGAGTTAAACAACTTTAGATAGCCTCTGTTTTTTCCTTGACCACGGAAAATAAATCTACACAGAGCAAAATTCAAATAACAACTTAGTTAGGTTGAAGAAGCATTTAAGTTATTTCATTGGACCATATTTTACGTTTAATAATTTTCTAATAAAAACTATCTCGAATTCTAGCAATTACATAGAGTAAAAAAATTGATTTTTTTTTGTTTGATCTAATTCGACACAAATATCGAGTCGATACGATATAGATCGAATTATTGTTTAACCTACGACTAAACATGCGATCTTACCTTTCAAAATTTAATGTAAAAATTAGACATGCTAATTTGAAAATTAAAAGAATTTAAAACAATATAAATTGATTGTATTTTGCCAAGATTTCCCGTCTTTCTTCCTCTTCATGTTTGCCGAAATCACTGTGAAATTAAGATCCTAAAACTTTTGAGGGTTGATGCTTGGTTTATCTGTTTAACGTAAAACCCTAATGCGAAAAAACCTATTCCGAAGGAACCTCTTCCCAAACATCCACGCCACAAAGATATATCATCTTTATCATCTCAAAATCCAATCGCAAGCATTATCTCATTTAGGAGTTAAACAACTTTAGATAGCCTCTGTTTTTTCCTTGACCACGGAAAATAAATCTACACAGAGCAAAATTCAAATAATTATTATGTAGCATTTATCTTAAAACAAATCTTCTTTTCCCTTAATCATAATCGCATTTACTAAAAAGAAAACCAAAAGTCCAATAATAATGAGTGACCCTTGAGTGTTTGAAAAATTGTCAAAGTTGCCCTTCCACCAAATAAGGAGAACCAATCAAAGTGCAAGGTGGCAACAATGACATAGAGTGAAGTGCATAATATATTGTGTAGATAAATAATAATAAAATACACAACCACATGAATTGTGTTAAGTAAGATATTTTTTATATATATAGTTGGTATTGTAAAAGAATTCAAATTATTTGATTGCTAATAGAAAAGGCCATCATATTAAAGCACATGGTTAAACATTCAAGCATCAGGCATATATACTCATCACCGAACTATAGCAATGAATTTTCCTATGCCTCGGTTCGGAATGGTGGGCGTGGTAGGGGATCCAATGTCTGGAGACATACTGGGCAAACTGTTCGGCGACAAGAGGGAGCGAGATTGCTCCTGGAAGCCCCACCGCCACGTCAGTTTCAGGAACGAAACCGAGCGGACTTCCCTCCTTCGGCGGCAGGCAGAAACAATTCGGGAGGAAGAAGAAGACGAGGCCAGGCCCAGCCGTCTGCTCCTAGTCCAAGAGTCCCTAGGGATGGCTGTCTGGTTGGGCTCAAGAGGGCAGCCCATGATTCAAGTGCTGGGCCGAGTAGAAGGCCTTGTTTCAACAACCAAGAAATTGCAAGGTCAGCTGACAATGGGCCTCTAAAGGAGCCCAATTCCGAAAATTGCAATGGGCAAGCAATCAGTGATCCAACTTTGGAAAACCCAATCCCGTTGCAAGTGCAGGAGCCAACCCATTCCTATGGGCTAGGTAATTTATTTTGCGATGAAAATCCAGAATTTTTATTTGAAGATTTGGATGAAACTAACCCATTTGGTTATCAAGGAGATATGGGCCTTCTAAATCTCGAGGCCCACTTACTACCTTCAGAATCTGCAGTGTCATGTTCTCCGATCGGTCCGGTCGAAAATGGGAAGTCAAAAGGCAAAGCCATCCTGGTTGAATCCTCGGGATCTCCTATTGTCTACACTCGAAGAAATGTGGGAATATGTATTCAAGAACCAGAAGAAGGCGTGGTGGATTCAGCACCAAAGAACACACAAGGAATAAGGGTGGAGGAAGCCAACCCCAAGTGGCCCCAATCCGATAAATGAATGTGTTCGCGTGGAATTGTCAAGGTGTGAGGAGTCCCTTGACATTCCAAACGCTTAAAACTCATCGGTGTTTAGCTAAATCTTTTCTCTTCCTAAGTGAGACAATGTCTTCAAGAAGTACGGTGTCCTCTTTTATCTCCTCGTTAGGTTTTTCCGACTGTCATATTGTCGATCCTTCCGGAATGTCGGGAGGTTTAGTCTTTGCTTGGCCACGTTCGGCCTCAGTGTCTGTTATAGGGTCCACCCCCTTTTTTGTTGCAATTTCCGTCATCAATAATAACTCCTCTTTTTATGGTGTGTGCCCTCGTTTCGTTTTGATTGGAGTTTATCTTTCTTACATCATTTCAAAGAGACAAGAACAATTAGAGGAAATAAAACGATTCTTGTCCTGCATTTCTGATCCATTCCTAATCATAGGGGATGTCAATTGCTCTCTATATCCATCAGAAAAATTAGGAGGTGCAACTTGGCGATCAGACAAAGCTCGTCCTTTGTGGGATTTCTTACACCAAACTGGCCTCTTTGAACCCCCTTTTCAAGGGCCTAAGTATACTTGGACAAATAGAGGCAGAAATGGGATCACGATTGAGCAAAGAATTGATAGAGTATTTGTCTCCCCTTCTTGGATGACTTTCTGGCCAAATTCTTCTTTATACCACCTCTCTGATAAAGGGTCTGATCATCGACTCCTTCGTCTATCTACTAGTGTCTTGGCTCCTCATTTTAAAAGGTTATTCAGATTTGATATTCGGTGGACTTCAATGCCAGAGGCTGAGCTAATTATTAGCTATGTTTGGAACTCTCAAGTTACAGGATCTGTACAATATTGTCTGTTCTCTAAGCTGCTGCGAGTTAGGCACTCCCTAGTGGATTGGTGTAAAGGAGGGCAATCCAATTCAGCTAGACTGATTAACGACCTTAATACTGCATTGGAAAAAGCCAGAAACGATCAAAGGGTGAATTGGAATTTAATTCGATCATTGGAAGAGAACTTGTCCATCCAATACAAAAGAGAAGAGATCTATTGGAAACAGAAGTCTCGTACTAATTGGTTAAAAGTGGGAGATAAAAATACTCCATATTTTCACTTAGTTACCTCTTCAAGGCGTCTAAACAACATAATTTTGGGACTTGAGGATGAAAGAGGATTGTGGTGTACCTCGGAAGCTGAAAAATGTGGCATAGCCAAGAGGTACTATGAAGGGCTCTTTCAAAGTCAGAATCCGAGCGATATAAGTCTCTCCAACCTAGTTTTCACAAATTATCTTACAGAAGAGCAGAATCTTGGGTTGATGGTTCCTATCTCTGCAGAGGAAATAAAAAAAGTGGTCTTCAACCTGGGGAAAACCCAAGCTCCAGGACCAGATGGGTTCACAGCCGGTTTTTTCCAACACTACTGGCCAGTGGTTGGACAAGACGTTACTCAGGCAGTGCTTACGTTCTTTCATACTGGAAGACTGTTGAGAAGCTTTAATCGAACTTGGATCTCCTTAGTGCCAAAAGGGTCGGAAGTCCGTACTATGAAAAACCTCAGACCTATCAGCCTTTGCCAAGTGGTGTATAAGATTATTTCCAAAATTCTAGCCAATAGACTTAGCAAGGTCTTACCCTTAATTATTTCTCAATCTCAAAATGGGTTCATCAAAGATCGCCAGATTACAGATAATATTATGATCAGCCATGAGGTCACTCATCATATTAAAACCCTTTACTCAGGGTCAAAGTGTTGGATGGCATTGAAACTGGATATGGAAAAAGCGTATGATCGTATTGAATGGCCATTCCTTTTTGAAATGATGAAGGAATTAGGGTTTAATAGTCGGTTTGTTTCCTGGATTCAGGAGTGTGTGACCACTGTTTCATACTCCATCCTAGTTAATGGCTCCCCTTCCGAGTACTTTAGACCCTCGAGAGGACTTCGTCAAGGTGACCCTCTATCTTCTCTGTTATTTGCTATATGCACAGAGGGTTTTTCAGCAATGATAAATCAGGCAGTAACCATGAGACTCTTGGAAGGAATAAGGATTCGTCAGAACTGTCCTATGATTTCTCATCTCTTCTTCGCTGATGACTCTTACCTTTTCGTTGAGGCATCATGTGCTTCTTGTTCGAATCTATTATCATTGTTCCAAGATTATGAAAGACTGAGTGGACAAAAGGTTAACCTTTCCAAATCGGCAGTACTTTTTAGTAAAAATACTAAGGGAGAAGATGCGAGTCTCATGGGCTCACAGTTGGGAGTTGGCGCTATAGGAGAACAGGATTCTTATTTGGGTCTTCCTTCCTTAATACCGAGAACCAAAAAGGATACATTCCTGTATATTGAGGAGAAGATGGGCAAAAAGTTGCAAGGTTGGAAACAACGTACCCTGTCCAAAGCAGCTAAGGACACTCTAATCAGAACCTCTGCCACTAATATACCAGTTCATGGTATGATGTGCTTTAAATTCCCAATGGATACGTGTAGACGTTTAAATGGCCTCTTGGCAAGGTTTTGGTGGGGTTCTGCTACTAATTTTGATCATCCAATCCATTGGGTGTCATGGAAAGGTCTCGCCCAAAGTAAGTTTCATGGAGGATTAGGGTTTAGGGACTTTAGGGCTTTTAATCAAGCTCTTTTAGCTAAGCTATGTTGGCGTATTTGGTCGAATCCTAATTCTCTCATTAGCCGATTGTATAAAGGAAGATATTTCAATGAAAATACGATTTTGGAAGCAACCATAGGTTCTAATCCATCCTGGGGATGGAGAAGTATTCTTTATGGGCGAGAACTACTCGTGCAAGGCTTACGATGGCAAGTAGGTGATGGAAACAATATAAGAGCATTCAAAGATAATTGGTTATTAGCAGATAAGCCTTGTCCTCCTGAGCTGAGGCGGCAAGAGGATATTTTCAATCCAAGGGTTTCCTTTTTCATCAGAGAAGACCTACGGGAATGGCACATCCCTAGATTAAGGTACTGGTTCCAAGAAAAGTCGGTTGATCTCATTCGTAATTTGGTAGTTCCCTTACTTCCACAACAAGACAAATTAATTTGGCACTTTACCAAAAACGGAACTTATTCGGTAAAAACAGGTTATCATCTTGCCCTGGATAATATTTTAAATCTTAGCCAAAAATCGATGGCCTCCATCATTGACCCTCCTATTTGGAAAGGAATGTGGGCTCTTGATGTTCCACCAAAGCTTAAGTTCTTTATATGGCAATGTCTGAAAGTTATTTTGCCAACTACGACGGCTCTTAGGTCCCGAGGAATTAACTGTCAAGTTCGTTGTCCGGTTTGTTGGGATAGTCAAGAGACTATTGAACACCTTTTTTTCCATTGTCCTCCTGCTCTTCACCTCTGGAATATGGTGGGATTAAACAATTTACTTCTCTCCGCCCCAATCAAAAACTTCGGTATCTGGTGGCGACATGTTATGAAAACGGAAAACTTCCAAATCCACTATCTCCCCTGCATTTGCCTTCTTTGGAGAATTTGGAAATCTAGAAATAAAGTGGTCTTTGAATTTACTCAACCACTAGCCACCTCGCTTGCCCGCCAATTTTTCTTCCAAGTCCAAGAATATGCTTCAGTGTCTTCCCTCCCCCAGATCTTGTCTCCCCGCCCTCAGCCCTCTCGCATCTCCAGTTGGCTTGGTCCTCCCGACGGTTTTATCAAGATCAATTTCGATGCCGCTGTTCGTGTTCCGGGTTGCTCATCAGGTCTCGTCGTTCGAGGATCAGAGGGGCAAGTTTTTTTGGCCTTGGGATTCCACCATCCAGGAGTCTCGGATCCCTATCTTGCAGAACTGATGGCCGCCAGAGACGCCATCTCTTTAGTTCACTCTCGCAGTCTTCCTCTGGCCATCATTGAAGGTGATTCTGAAGTAGTTATCCGGCAACTTGATGGTAGATGCTGTGAAGACTCGGTGGGCGGGCCTTTGCTTCGTGATTGTTTCCAGTTATTGAGCTCTTGTTCTTCTTGTATTCGCTTTTGTTCGGTCCCGAGGACTGTCAACTGGGCTGCCCATAGAGTGGCAAGACAAGCCCTGCTGCTGTCCCCTGTAGAGATAGCGTCCTTCGATTTTGTAGGGTGGCTTCATTAATTGTCTTTTTGGGGTTTTAGGTAGAAGATTTAACTATTGTACTATGGCATTACTTGGAAAAAAAAAAAAAACTATAGCAATTCCAACTTTACATTAATATTAATATTCGTTGCAAGTTCAATAGGCTTTTACCTAGCAGTTGTCGTCTTTGATGTCGTCCTCCAGATTTCATAGAAATACTCGAGTGAGTCTTCTTCGAATTTATGTGGACATGTTTCGCATCCAGCATAACACCACCCATTATTAAGTATGACGACTTTAATTTGCATTTGATAGGATATATAATTCCTACATGTTACAGAAAGTGTTAATATTTGATAGGTAATGTGCCACTCAATTGAAACAAATACTAACCTCTTCTCTCTCCTTCATTTTAATACGTACTAAAAAAAATTTCGGCCCCCCGAACTTCAAATCCTGGCTCCGCCCCTGAGTCAAGTAGATGTCAATAAACCCAAATACT